CATCTTCTGCATYCGTGCCTGGGAGTGCAGATGGAGCTGTTGGTAGTGCTAGGCTCTGACCAGCAGCGGAGGTGGGGGACAAGCACAACCGTGTTAAACTTGCATTTTCTTCCACCAGTTAGAAGGAAATTCTGAGCAGCTGACCTGTGTTTTGTCTCATCAGGAAATATTGGAGGAAGTTGTAAGAGAGTTACACAAAGTGAAAGAGGAGATAATTGATGGTAAGAAAGAGAAAAAGTATTATTTTTCTCATCTTTATGACTAATTTCCCATAGATAAGATGATAGGAACTGCAGAGAGTTCCCTGGTGTTTTCAGACTTCTCTGAACAGCTCTGATTTACGCACACGTTTGAAGAACAAGCATCTACCTTATCTGTTACCACATCTACCTTATGTGCTCTGACCATAACACTGCATATACAWCTTTTATTATGCTGTTGATGAGCATTTTTTTCCACCAACCTATGAGAAATTCACTGACTGATGTTTCTCACAGGTGGGAGGGTGAGAAAGGGCCTACCTGTAGCCCATGGCACATCAATTTATCACAATCAGCAAGCATGAAATCACTTGTAACTTGCCAGCCACACAGGTCCAGCACAAGGAGGGGACAAAGGAAGCTAACTGAAAACCCTTCCCAAAAATCTTCTGTAGGTTTCCTATGCTTGAAGAGTTACTTCAGACCTTCACTTGATTAAAGCTTTCCAAATAGCCACATATTTTATAATTCACTGAAAAGTACAGCAGCTGTACTTTTTTTATAAATTGCTCTGCAGTTTACAAATGAAGGTATTTTCCAGGGCCATTATTGAAATGTACGGCAAAATTCCCACTTGAAGCCCACGTTAGGGCATACGAAGATGCGTTTTCACACCCTGCACTCCCCACCTTAGATTCACAGGGAAGGGGAAAAAGAGGAGACTGTAAAACAGCTAAAATCCATTCCCTGTCCCCTTGCCCTAGGTCTGTGTGCTCACTAAACCTCGAGGCAGTTTGCAGTGGGAGAGACCCTTGTCCATCCGCTACTGTCCCAGCAGCTTGGCCTCAGAGCCTCCCTAGTTCATTGCGGTGCGAAATAAGGCATTCACAGACACCACAGATGCAACTTCTTACAGGAGCACTGCAGTTTGCAAGCCAGCAGCTGACTGCTTACCCTTACTCATCCTTTTGCCCTCCACTCATCCTTTTACCAGCGTGTACTTTCTGCAGCCTCTGTACTTAGCATTTTCCATCACCCTGGATATAACATTATTCACTAACTCTCTGGTTTGGTTTTCTAGCCATACGGCAGGAGTTGAGTAGAATCAGTACAACATAATGATTGCAAAGCATTTGGACGGTACAAAGAATGCTAGGAAGATTGGATCATTTCTAAGTGTACCAAGGTCATGCAAGATGGTGAGAGAGGACACCGGCACTGTCTTTGTTCTTACACCCTTTTTATTAGCAGACTCAGCACACTTTGAAGCTTGCTGCTGCCTTGGATTTGCTTCATTTTACAAGTCTTAATCTAAAGATTATTAAATTTTAAATTTCTGGATTTTTTAGATTTCATCTGACACTGCACATTGGATTTGTCAGCCTTTTTTGTATTTTGTATTTGCTTATTTAAATGTATTACCTTTCTTTTTAGTAGTAGATAAGAACACACGTGAACCATTTGCTTTTGATAGATGACTTCAAAGTAATTTTACTAGTAGTCTGCAATGTAAATGAAGATCCTTTGCCAACAGAAATGTATTGAGGCATCACCAGAAGAAAGAGACATGTTTAGTTGTCAGCCAACAAGTTCTTTGTCTCAGAGTTATCACAATATTAAAAAATGGTACGTCAGTGCATCACAGTATCTGTGTTCATATTGGTAATAAACTGTTTATTGTCCACATGGCCCTGCCTTTCGTGGTTTCATTCATCCCTTGAGCTCCTGTGCTTGTGTCTCTTGATGATAAGATGAAGGTGACTGAGACTCATGGGGGTGGCAGCTCAGCCTCCTGCACTGCAGAGCACGAGGACAGAGCCTGAGTGTCCTGTGGCTGGTGCTGTGTTAGCAGCTCTGCCTTCTCTCACAGCCAGATGTGGCTCTCACCTGCCCAGCCCTCTCACACCACTGGCTGAGCACCACACCCTGCGGTGAGGCCACATCCTCAGCCCCTTTTTGCCAAAGTGAGTGAAGGACAGTGGCTTAAGGCTCTTCTCAGGCCACCCATACCTGTCCCACCACATCTCCCATCACTGAAAAAAACCGCAGGTCCCATCATCTGCACCCCTGCAGCTTTCCAGTAATAAAAGGGAGGTGTGCATGCAGAASAAGGCTACCAAAGGCATTAGGTGGATGCAAACTGAAATCCCAGGCACAGCACTGCTGACCAGAGGCTTAAGAGGAGTCATTTGTTAATGTTGTGCAGGTCTTGAACTTTATTGGTACAGGACAYCCAACATTTAACAGTGCATAGCCAGCCATATCTTTCAGGTAATGCAATGATTTCCTTTATAGCCATTCTTCCCACCAGAGCAATCTAGGGAATTTCTGCTTGACTTAGTCTGGTGCAAGCTTTGCATGACAGTTGTCTTGATACCATCTTCTGGTAACCTCGTGCAAAAGCCAAGGGATTGGAGTACAGCTATTGAAATCTGTCAAGTATTCTCCAAGCTCCCTTCCTTTCTTCAGGCTTCCRTAAGTATTTTGTTTTAAAAGCCGGGTCCCCAAGGATCAGTGTTGGGGAGCAGAGCCTGGTGCAGCAGCCCAGGAAAGCCTGTGGTTGTCCCCTTGCTGGTGCAGCAGGCAGGAGGGACAGCCATCCTGCTAAAGGAAACCCAGGAGAGGAGGCAGGATGGGTCCTRTTTGGCAGTCAGCTGTAAAATGTTACCTGTTTTGTTTTGGGTGCTCTTCAGCATTCTTCAAAGCAACCCAAATGCCTTTTAGAAATTAGTACTTTTCACCATCTGGTTATGCTGGAGATTAAATATGGAATAAATGTGAGAAATCTGAGTTYAATGCAGCAGGGAGCTCCAGACTGAGGCTGATGTTTGTTAGCTGTTTATTGGCAACAGAAGGCAAGGGAGAGGTTGGTCAGCAGGATAAAGATTACTACATGGAAACTAAAGCAGGCACCACATTGCAGCTACCCCAGCACTACAAGGAGCCATCCCAGTATGAAGAACCCAGACAAGCATCAGTAACAGGAGAGATTAGAATGATCTGTTGCATAAATCTCTTACAGTAGCTGTAAACCCATTTGATGGCATACCTGATGATGGTAGGTAYTCTTCAAAACTGCTGCCACTCAAGATCACATCCGTTTTGTGAAACTCTCCTGTAATCCTAATTAAGCTTCTGGAAGCTGGTGCTTGGAACAGTTCACATCTTCCCTTGGAATGTGGCATTACACCTTCAGGTCAGTAATAGCCATGTTGTACAGCCTTGATATGGTGTGCCCTTGTGTTAATATCAGCCAGCAGCTGTAAATGGGATTTTCTTACTTTCTTTGTCTATCTTTGCAGGCCCTATATAATTACAACATAATAAGCTGAAGTTTGCACAYGGCCACTTAATAGCAGTGGAAGCAAAGTGTGCGGGTGGAAGGGGAAGATTGGCTGAAGGGGTAGGGCAGCAGTCCAGGCATCACCAGCACTGTGCTGGTTCCCAGCCTACTGCTCCAGTGATGTGCAAGGTGGCTCAGTTCCAGCAGTGGCACTACCGGAGGGTTCCCTCCTCCCAGACAGAGATTCAGTTTGCCAGCAGCCTCTGTAGAGATGGTTGTCCTTTCATACTGTTGAGCCACTGTGACAGGGCAGGCCAGAGRCATCTTACACAGCAGCAACCTAAGGGGACATTACTTCTACTACTTCCCATCATACAGTTATTTTCTAGAGCTTTRGTGTGCCTGCACAGTGAAGGCGATCTGGAACAATTTTTAAGCAAAGGGAATAACACTACACATACCCCTAACATACTTTTAACCCAGGCTCTTATGCCCTGTGGTTATCAAAAAGCTCCTTCAGCCAACATTACTGGTAGTAGCAAAGACAAGTGCCCACAGAGAGAACAGGATCACAGCCTTCCCCAGCAGCACCCCACACACTGGAACTCGGCTCATCTGTGGGCACTGCAGGCTTCCAGACACTTCAAATTCCTGCTGAGATGGACAGTGCTGAGCAGGAGGGCTGTGGGGCTGTCCAGGCTGAGCAAGCTGGGACTACAATGGAAATACTGATAGGAGGCAGGTGAAGAAGCAGTTGACAATTTTGGTTGGCTCATTTACACCAGAGGCTCTGTATCAGTCTAGGTTAGTAGCCCACAGCACATGGGTGACTGGATCATAAAACAGCTGAGTAAGGTAATTACAGCATAAGGACACATCAAAGAGGATCAGGACAATCAAATTGAGGAAGATARCATAATCTTTATTGTGGTTTTTATATTAACTTATTAAGTAGAACAAGAGGGTTGATGAACAGCTGCCAAAGACACGGGAAGTTGCATACATGATCAGAGTGCCAGCAAATCTGAAGTAAATTAAYAAAAAACTGAAGTTCCCTGACATGACCACTGAAGGCAATGGAAGTTCCCACACCAGCATCTCTTCCGTTGGGAGAAAAGCAGCTTTCATAATTAAGACATAATATCTTAAGTATATTCATCAGTGAGGAGCCAGTGAAGGCTGAGGTGCTGCAAGAAGCTCCATTCTTGCTCCTCTTATCCAAAAGCACAAAACAGTATTTGTGAATAAACTGGTGTTCAGCCTCTGTATTACAAAGGATCTTGCTCTGCTCAGCAAACCTGAGTATTTATTTACTCAACTGCCAAAATCACTTGGGTGAGAAAAATGGAGAAAGGGGAAATAAAGGAGGAACCCAAATTGCAGCAGGTTAGCTCAGCTGCCCAGTAAACAGACAGGCTCACTGGATCCAGTGCTGCTGAAGGAACGAACAAAATTGTGTTTAGTGAGGAAATCAGACTTCCCAGATCYGATCACATACTCTGAGGGACCAACRAGACTGCRCAATAAATCCTTTTCTTTATTGCAGCCATGGATTTCCAGAAGAAAAAAACCCAAACTGTTAAAGGGTTACAGAGAAAGAGCACCTATACAGATCTCTCTTTTAACTAYTTAGTAAAAGCAGAAATATTTTGCCAGCTTTCCATGGTAGATGGAACTCAGRTGGTATCTGAATTCCTGACTCCCAAGATATTATTCTGCTTGGAGAAAGATTATGTTGATTAAGGTTTTTAATGATACAGAATCATTGAGGATAGCCAGAAGTTTATAGTTGGAGAGGACAGGCAGGAAGGTTTTCGTATGCCAGGGGTAGAAATGAGAGATGAAGGRTGATGTCAATAGCACCAAGTAGGAGACACAGGGAGAGAAACAACCCCATCTCCATGTTCCAGGTACCTCCCCTTAACACCACCACTGGCAATTTTATATAGCTGGASTATCACGTGCTTCCCAAATGTCAAGCTATGCCCCTTGAATGACAGAGGAAAAAAGTTCCCATGATTCTGAAGGAACAAATACCACCACTGAGATGAAGACATCTCCATGTCTCCACTGACATGTACTCCTAAATTCCATGCACAGAAAGGGGTGTGATACAGAGGAGACCAAGAAATGTGACCAGGAATGCTAACAGTCTTGGCAAGAAAAAATTAAAAYTAGGACCTCTCCTTTCCCCAGAGGACTTACAGTAGGGAAAAGGATGAGATAYATGTAGATGTGAATACTGTTGAAAAGGTGAGTGAGAAAGGATCACGCAGTTTCTYCAGAGGCACATCCATGCTGCTGATCAGGGCAGTAGGTGGAAGACTAAAGGAAGGATTTCTCCTTGCCACAGTTCAGGTTTGTCAGCTACAATRAGTATTAGATCCTAAGAATAAACATTCATTGAGAAAAGGTTCACAAAAAGCCCTGGAATAAAGATCAAACAGCAGCTACTAAAATAATGTTACAGACATAGAAAAATATAAACATATTCCATTGCATATATAAAATCTCTGCTATGAGCAATTATCAGAAGTAAGATATTAGACAAGACATTGAGCCAAAAGCACTCTTGTATTSTCCAGAGAGTATCATTTACTTCTGCATGCCAGTCCTCCCTGCTTCACAGTCCTGTGCACACAGAGCATCCACTTCCAATCTGGCATCAAGAGAAACCAGTCCTGAGCTACACACACACATGCTCACACATAACACTGCMAACATTCTCCCCTGCAGACAAAGCCAAATCTTGGGCTTAGGCAYATGTGTCCCAGGAAAGTTAATTCTACACCTAATCATAGGTTCACTCTAGTCTAGTTTCTCAGAGTTACATGTATAAATATACATTATTAAATGTATCTCTGTAGTCTAAAATTGCTTCACTTCACACTCTTCCTCTTGGCATAAGCAGCATGGACTAACATTAATTCAGCACACACTAAGATCCTTCTATTTCTGCAGAAATCTGAAGTCATGGGAAAGAACAAGCACACACCACTGCAGCAGGCAGAGCTGCCYCATTAACTTTCCTTTGCCAGCTTGCACAGTCTCTTCACCCTTGAATAAGGACCAAGAGTGTCATCAAAAACAAAGTCCCACAGAACTCGAATCCAGGACTGGTGATGTGGGAGGTTATCATAATATTCTGCTGCAATCTTCTTCACCTGGAAGCAGAAGAGAGAGAATGAGCCACTTGGTTGCACAGTCAGGTGTGTTTCAACCTTCACATTCAAATCTGATAGCATAGCCATAACCTGAAGTTACTTGTTATTGCTTGTGAGCTTCTGAAGTTCAGCCAAATGAGATGTACTTAAATGCATTTGGATACCTCTCAGCAGATTTCTGATGTAAGTTTTGCCTCACAGTGTCATAATTTGAAAGATGAGGGATTGCTGCCTTCAGTCAGAATTATTYAGTCTCATCTCCACAATGGGATGCCTTATCCACTTTATCAATTGTCAAGACTCCAGCACACTGTATTTAAAGGCCTGTTTGCCATTTGTAWTATTCTTCTGTTGAGGGTTCTGGGTAATAGAGTAAACAATCGAGAAAATGCCAGACACAGCCTTGCCTACACTTCATTTTCTCTCCTCCATTCTGCTACCATTGTACAAATCCAAGAGATGGGATCCTCCAGCAGGCAAAGAAAATTGCATGGGTGGTCTGTTCTCCTCAGTCTGATATTAATACTGTGAGATTCATTATCAGGTCACAAGTCTAATAAAATTTCATCCCTGCTATAATTCCCTAAGTCTTAAGACTGTTGCCACCAGAGAAGCATTGTACATCACTGTGGTGGTGCTTATGGTGGGAGTAAGGCCAGAACCAGAGGACAAAGARGTTTCAAAGCTGGCAGGTGCAGGGGACTCTGAGGATTCCCAGTTTATCTGTTATTATTCCTGCTCCAACTAGATGCTCTTCTTTTTGAACACATTTATGAAGCAGCAGTCTGTTAACCATAGTACACTCACACATAACTGCTTGGGCAGGGTTTTATTGCAGCTCCACCTCCTACACAAACAAAGCTCTAGAATAGAGTAGTTTGTCTTGCTGGACAGCATGACTTCTCTCTTTAAAAACCCTGCAGTATTTTAAAGCCAGCTACRCTGGGCACAGTGCAGAGTTGCAGTGAAGAAAGGAAGGGTTACACAGAAATCATACAGGAACAGGGTCTCATCACCACCCAAGGTGTAACGGTGGAACCTTAACACAGCATTGTGACTTTGTGAAAAGGTAAGAATCCCAGCAAAAGTTAAATTATAAGCTACTATGGCTCCCTGCTAATTGCCTCATTAATTCAGCTTCCTAGCAGACATTTCTCTGTGAGGTAGGTTGGATAATGTACAAGAGTCATTAGGACCTTTTACCTCGGTGCCTCTGTCCCTACACACTCCTTGTGYTTGTGGCATGGTCATGCTATGCTGGAGATGGAAGATTCAGTTCAGGTCTGACTGTATTCTTTCACTGGATACCTCCAACTTCCTGATAATTTCCTCTATTCTGCTTTAAAGCATTGGTTTGTGCTTCAGAGTAGTTAATTTTCAATGGGATTCAGACAATATCAGGATTTCTCCTTAGAGATATTTGTTAGAGACTAGAAGGAAGGTGATTTCCAGGCTCCAGGAAAGATCTCTGAAGATGCAGATTTAGTTCCTTGGGCTCCTTCTGTAACCCCGGTCAGAAGTAATTTAATCTGAGGATTCTATCTTCTCTTTTCCCAGCTGGATGATTGAAATAGCCAGAGGATAAGAGGGAGGACTGTTTCAACAGTAAGCTCCCTTGAATGAMGGTTACTCACAAGGCCTGATGCAAAAATAAAGGGGGTCTCAGATACCCAGCCCCAAAAGCTTCACTCCAGCTCTGATGTGGTCATTCCCTAGCACACCATTTATTAGGCCTTTCTTCCTAACTCCATTTTAAGAATTCTGCCTGAATTCTGCCTTTTAACTGTAATTCAGCCCTCATTTATGCTACTCAAGTTCACATGGCAAGTCTACCATCCCCCTCCTCTGCAAAGCCCCACATATTACTTGCCSTCTGAACCAGCCATGTTTTCTTAGGTAATTACATTATTCTGCAGAGCTCTTGATCATGTTAGACTCTGACCGCTATAAGAGCTTCAGGAAGTTTTCCTGTATTGCCCCTTGCGCATGAAAGACTAGAGATTCCAGAATTCAGTGCCTAGGAACAACGTCTCAGGCTATGTCCTCTGGCTCCAAAGGCTCACTGAAAAGTAGAAGTGACAAAATAGCTAAAAATGGCTCAGAGAAGAGGCCAATAAACAGCCTGCCTGTGTTGAGCCCAATAGTTTCTGCAACTATGAGCATCACCTTGTGCAGGAAGGCAGGAACCACTTGCACCACTGGCAAGGTCCCTGTGCTCTGAGCACGACAACTGTTATGGGATGTACAGAAACAATGGAGAGGGGAAGGTAAAACTGCAGTAAGGAATGGAGAAAAGCAAAAATTTAGTGAATGCAGTTAGAGAGGGGGACTTCTGAAGGATTTTCTTATGGAGAAGACAAGGAWATTTGTTAGGTACATGTTCCAATCTTGCTATCACATGGCAGGAAAGAATTTTAAAAGAGGTTTCTCTTTTACAATGGATCTATGCAGAAGTTTCTCAGTAAAAAACATCTCATTTTTTTGTAATTACTTTCAGCATCTCTATACATAAAACAGAATTATCTCTTTATCTACCAGAAAATCTGGGTGGTGGGAGGACAGAAAGTAATTGGGGTTTAATGCAGATTGCCTTTTAAATGCAACATCATATGAGGAGGGGCTGAGAGAGCTGGGATTGCTGGGCCTGCAGAAAAGGAGGCTCAGGGGAAACGTTATCACTCTGAAAGGGGGGTAGCCAGGTGGGGATCGCCCTCTTCTCCCAGGCAACAAGCAACAGGACAAGAGAACAAAGGCCTCAAGCTGCACAGGGGAGGTTCAGGTTGGACATCAGCAAGAATTCCTTCACTGAGAATTGTCAAGCATCAGAACAGGCTGCCCAAGGAAGTGTTGGAGTCACCGCCCATGGAAGTGTTCAAGAAATGACGCAACATGGCACTTAGTCCTATGGTTTAATTGATATGGTGATATTAGATCAAAGTTTGGACCTGATCATCTCAGAGGTATTTTCCAACCTTACTGATTCTGTGATATCTGTTAAGTATGGTTGAGGCTGGAAGAGTCATCCTCTCCGTTATATCCTAGCTACAGTACAAAACGTGGAGATGGCAGTCTCCAGGTATTAAGTTTTGGGCCAGAGCATAAATTGTCCCAAAAGAGGAAGGCACTGAGATTAAGTATTACAAAATCCGGCTCCCTCAAGCTCTCCATATATTGCATTGTAGGTGGTCCGTTTTATTCAACTCCTCCCATCTTCCTCCTTACAAATCTCAGTAAGTYKTAACTCACTGTTGAGTGAGTTAACWGTGTGGAKCTCCCGGAGTGAATCCAGCAAAGGGTGACAAAATTGATCAAGGGACAGGAGCACCTCTCTTATGAGGAAAGGCTGAGGGAGCTGGGCCTCTTCAGCCTCAAGAGAAGACAAATGAGAGGGAATCTCATCAATGTGTAGAAGTATTTGGAGAGTGGRTGTCCAGAGAATGGATCCAGGCTCTTCATGGTGGTGCTGAGCAACAGGACAAGAGGCAATGGGCAGAAACTGATGTGCAGGAAGTTCCACCTGAACAYGAGGAAAAACTTTYTTATTGTGCAGTGACCAAGCACTGGAACAGGCWGCCCAGAGAGGCCCAGAGAGGGTGTGGAGTCTCCCTCAGTGGAGATATTCAAGAACCATCCAGACACGATCCTGTGCCATGTGCTCTGGGATGACTGTGAGCAGGGAGGCTGAACCAGATGACCCCATTGTGGTCCCTTCAAACCTCATCCATGCTGTGATTCTGTTATCATGGAAGGATAGCAAGAGATTGCAAAGTCAGCAGGAAAATTACCAGGACTTGGCACGTAGTATATTGAGGCTTTTCTTCAAGTAGATCAAGATGGCAGAGTAAGAAATCACATCTTTTGGATTGAAACTTTTGTTCTGGTTCTGTGTTTGTAGAGCAGTGACAGGACCCTAATCCTGCTCCATCATATCTGATAGGCACAAAAGTTAGAWGCAGCCCAGTATTTCAGCATGGCTGTTACACAGTCTTTGTCCTGGGGCTATACAGAAAGTAGAGATCCTTATGACACAAAGCCATAAAATTACATTTAGAAAGTTCAAAAGCTTATTACAGAAGYTCCCTCTATAGTCCTACGTCCCCACCTCAGGATGGGTAGCACTCAAACTAGCCCTCCTGGCCATCACAGGGTTAATGAAATCTGCAATTCAAAACCAGCACATCTACCATGTTTTCCAGTCTTGTCTGTCTAATAAATCTGGTTCTATACCATGTATTTTCCTTTTCCCACAAGCTTAATGAGTAACTAGTTTGCCTCTGGTAACACTGCCACTTTTATTGCAGCTTCTAGGAGTACCAAGTTCCTCCTTCTTCTCCAGTCTTCTCTCCATAAGTATACTCAATCCTCCAGACAATGAAGAATGGATCTCTTTACTCATCTGGTAAACAATGTAATGTTTTATGGTTATAACACTTTATTCAAAGACTAATACACTCCTAAGTCTACAGGKTTTTTTTAAGAGCAGGTCCTTCATTGAAATGTTAAATTTCATGATCTCTTGTGTAATCTGTCATTRTACTAGTGGGACAAGTTCTTACTGCACACCCATGTCACTCATCTTTAATATTCATAAGCTTAGGAGCACAACCTAATTTTTCCTCTTTCAAATCTGTCACAATCCTAGGGTAAAGGTCTTTCCAGTGGCAAACACATTACTCAGAACGTTCTGAATGACACACCTGTAACAAAGGACAAAGCTGAATTTACTTTCCTGATAAGCAAGCTGAAAAGCCAGTTACTTTCCAAGACTAAGATCCAGTTATTCTCAAATCCTWTTTCTCCCCTGCTCTCAATCATGCGGGATAGATCTTTAAAAATGGAGMTCTTACTTCTACTTTCTACTTGCCAGTAATTAAAAATAGTCTCACTGAGAGGTCATCCACTTACACAATGCAACTATTAGAAATTCAAGTGCCTAGGAGACTAAATCTGACAAAACCAGATCTTTGCTTAGTGCAGAATTAGCCAGGAGGTTAGCCAAAATAGAACAAAGTGAGGTTTCTTACCTGCTATGAAGTTCAAGATTTAAAGTTCATAAGAGAGGGTATGTTCGTTTACCTCTTTCCAACAGAGAGGCAGATTTTTTTTCTCATTTTGTAGAAAAGAGTAACCAATTTGTTTTAATGGACAAAGGACCTTCTACTAGTAACTGTTTTGCCAAAGAATTTTCACTTTTTAATAGAATTTTTGTTTTTAATTGATCATTCATTAGACTCCAAGTCTTCTATGTAGTTCTGGCAGGGACTGACAAGTCTGCTCTCTCCTCCACCAGCAGGACAAGTCTCAGTTGCCAAAAAGCAAAACACACATGAACACAAGCCCATGAAATTCAGCTAACAAATCCATCCTCTTTACACAGGAGGGCAGAAACTTCCAGCTGCTGCACTGCCGCAAGGAATTAGGCTGAACTATTTGTGRTGTGGGTGGAGAAGAGATTTTCAGGTCTCAATCAGGGCAGGAGTAACAGTCCCAGCAAGTTCGATTAGTCACCCATCTCCCTTGCATAGGATACTGAGCTAACCTCCTTCTCTTCTATTTACATTTCAATAATGTAAGTATCTAAGCCCATCTAACAAGTTTGAACATTTGGAACTAAAGCTAAGCACAATGCACTTCCCCACTGAGCTATCAGGTGCATCAGTGATGGGAGTGCCTCACAGGAGAGCTTCCTGTCTGAGTGTTCCTGGCTGCTCTTCCAGCTCCTCTGGGCCTCGCCAAAAACAGGCAGCATCTCCAGGACAGACCTCCAGCAGCAAAGGAGGTGAATGAAACACAGTTGGAGGCTAAATAGAGGCTTCCCATGCTGTTCTACACAAGAAAATCTCCCCTTGATTTGAACCTCCTCTCAGGGATTGTTTCTGTGATGGAGAACACCCATGAGCAGCAGGGTTTGCCCGGGTTTGCCATCACAGAAGTTGAACTTGGTATCAATAGTGGGGACGTCACAGCTCCTGAACCTCAGATTCCTCAGCTCTGCCTCCACCTCAGAAGGAAATTTCAGTAGCAGTTCCCAGCTCTGCATCAGCCCAGAGAAAGATGTTTCCTTCCTATTACATCAGAGAACTTGTATGTTGGAGTCGCATACCTCTAACACTGAGCACTTGCTGAGGAACCCCTGTACTGAAACACTCAAGAGCAGCTACATACCTGCAGGGAGATTGGAAACCATTCCTAGACACCTGGGCTTTGCAAATTTGATTCCCACAACTGATAAAACATGAAAAGGGGTTTGCCTTTCAAAGGAGGAGAGCCACAGCACTTTCCCAATGACAGACCAGGCCTCCTCAGTTTCTGTGGGTGGGGCAGCAGAGCTAAAACAAGTCACAGAGTGTGGCATTATTTTCTAATGTTATCTGCATCAGGCTGGAACATGCCCCAATACTTATGTCATCTCACAAATAGAAAATCTTCTCTTTGATGTTAATCAAGCAATATAATTAGCAGATTGATCACTAGACAACCTTCAAGTAGCAATTGCCACCTGCTTCCCTTTAGATGGGTCTTTAAACTTTCAAAGTTGAAACTTGGTGGCTGAGAGATGTAAATGGAGAAATTTAAAGCCATGTTGGAAGATTTTATCATGCCAAAGTTCAGATGCTCTATTTTGCATCAAATAAACTAAATATTACAGCAGTTTGACAGCCATTTCTCTCAATCACTGGCTTAAAATTAACTAGAAAMAAACTTAAAAAGTTGTCTTCCCCCCCAGTTTTTCTCAAATTCATCAGTTGCTATGATTTGGAGTGTTTTCTTTGAGACAGTCAAGCAGCTTTCATAAAAGTGCAATTCACTCATGCTCATGCTATACCTACCATGGGCAGTCTGCATCCAGGAATRCTGGGGAAGTCATGATGCTCCATGTGGTAGCCTACATTGAAGGTGAGCCAGTTCAGAGGTCCATAATAAGAGTATGTCTCATACCCTTTTAGGAACATGTAGTGTTCTGCTATGAAGTGCCCAGAAATGGGATGAAAACCCAAGCAAAGGATTGTACCTGCTATCAAGTAAATAACAGGTTTGGGCCCCCACAGGTAGTAAATAATGAGGTCTATAGAAAACTGGACAAAAGCATTAAGGATTTCCATCCGTGTGATTGCTTTGGGGTTCACATACAGCGGTCTCAGGCTGTAGAACAGAGGCTGCAGGAAGAGCCACAGCAACTTCCGAAGCGGCGTGCAGAAAAACCAGCCCTCAAAGTCTGTGGGAATGTCCACATCCAAGCTGTCCCCTCCCAGATACCGGTGATGGTCAATGTGGTACTTCTTGAAGGAGGCAGAGTAGGGGACGCCAATGGGCAAGTTGGCAAAGACTGCGAACCAGCGGTTCCACTTGGCCTGCTTGTTCCCAAAGGCCACGTTGTGGGAAATATCATGGATGGCGAGGGTCAGCGAATGGTTGATGCAACCCCCAAAAGCATAAGCCCAGAAGAAAATCCATTTCCAAGCTAAGTCTTTCACCAGGTAGCATGCCAGAAGCTGCGTGAAAACCATTCCAGATACAATCCATTTTAAATGTGGATCTGGTCCCATCAGAGTCTTGATCTCTGGATACTTTGCTAAAGGAAAAAAATGCACAGATAAACTTGATTAGAACAAAATTAGGTGAACCTGTTACCACTGTGACTCTCTGTTTTTATCACACACTGTTTGAGGCCTTGGTTTTATAAAATGTTAATTCCAAAGTAGGGTTGCCACTACAGTGAAAGCTTTCCTAGTTCCAGCATCATGACCACTTGTGATTGATACTGATATATATATAKATATAGATATAGATATATATAGACATATTAAAAAAATACCCTGATTGTCTGTGGCATCATGTGCCTTCATCATTGTGAGTACTGCTTCACAGTGATGAGCAGTAATATGCCAAACCCTGCAAGATTTAAGCTCTAAGAAACACCTTCTGTCAAGTTTTTAATTTCCTTTTGTATTTTGCTCAGATCAGATGTTATTTTTCCACAAAAGGGATACACCTGCCTTCTTCGTAGCCCTTCTCACACTGTTGTTTCAAACACGCCAGCAGAGGAAAGAGCTGAGCAACAGGCTCACCAGGTTTTGCTCTGTGGTTAGATGACAAACGCAGCATTAAAAAAAAAAAAATTCCTAATTATCTGAGTGTTTACCAGCGCTCACAACACGAACAACTCTTCACACATGGTAATATCACAGTAAAGTCAGTAATATTATCAGGATTTTGTAAGGCATGGAAAATTTTTCTCTGTTCCCATGTCACATCCCAAAGGTAGGCAATAAATACACATAGATAATCACACCCCAGCTTCATGAGGCCTCACAAATACTGCAGTGCAGTGTCAGAGAGATGTCTGGCTTGTCAGGACTGATCTTCAGCTCCACCAGCCATTCATCTATCCTTACAAAAACAAATAAACATACAAAGKACAGCTTATCCTCTCGGATTGATGCACATCCGCTCTTTGCAAATCCACACTTCTCATTCCCAGTATTAACTTTCACATGATTCCTTCTGCTGCCTTATGGCTTTTRCCCACCTACTGACCACCCTCCTGTAACTCATACTCTGCATTTCTCAGTAACTGCACCTTACACAGATAAATGCATAGGGAAGTCACTCATTCTGAACCCTGAGGTTACACAGTGTGTCCCTGTGAGTTTCATAGCCCACTTCATGAATAGAAAAGTAAACATCATCTGACTCTCACAGTACAACACCAATGCAATAAAATCAGATTACAATGATCTGCATCTATGCAGCTGYGTATACTATAAACAAGTGGTGGAGACAATACATGTAATTTATGTGACCTTRAAAGCAGTGGCAGATACTGAGTACTGGATGGAGAGGTTTTTATGGAAGTAAACCCTGAGAAGTTTGCAGAAGTTCAAAGAGATAAAGTACTACTTAAGGAAGCAGGTTGATATGGTCATGCTCTGCAGTCATTCCAACAACCTTTGAGCCTCATGGCCAACTTCAGCCCAGYTGAGAGAAAGTCGAGATGATAAAGATTAGACAAATGCTGTGGAAGATGCAGAGAAAAGAGGTATTCTCAAATCTTGTGAGGACAAGGAGGCCAAGGTCACCCTGAGGAGAAGTCAGGTAAGAGAGATTTTCTAAGTGGTGGGAAAGCTGTAGTAAAAGTTCATATCTTTCTAAAGTCAGACAATTTTTTTTATAAAAATCTCTGGAAAGTCCAGGGTTTTTTTTGGTTTGCTGTTCTGTTTTTGTTGCTGTTTTCACCGTTCTTGAAATTATATTTTTTCATACCGTAAAAGACTAACATGCCAGAATTTTTCTCTGATACCTGAATAGGTACCAAAATTTGACACGAAGTGCTGCTTATGCAAAGCTCACTCTAAAATATAAGTTGATATAATAACCTGGTCAGAAAGCCTGTTACAGATATGCAGTTTTATGCAGCTTTTTTTTTTTYTTTCATCTCTTTCTTAGGGGCATCTATCCACAACCCAGAAAACTTTTATGAATCAACTTTTATAAGTCAAACTTTTATAAAGCCACCTCAAATGTTGTCACATGATGTGGCTGGTAGAGATAAGTTACTGCAGTCACCACAAGAGATGAAGAAATGTAGAACAACAWAATCTGTTCCTCAGCCTGGTCAAAATGAGGCCACACTGACCCACCCAAAAAAAAACCAAAAAAGAAATTTAATGGGATGGAAAAATTGCTTAAAGATGCTTTATACTTTGAGAGTAATGGAAGTTTTTGACCTATTTCTTTCTGTGGCTGCTGACAAGGACTGCAGATTCCATTTAAAAGGTTCCAGAGCAGTCGCTGCCAAATGACAGCACAACAGTGTGGGCAAGCAGCAATGCAGGCAGGTTGCACTTATCGCAGGTGACAGCTATTAAGTAACCTGCCAGGGTTTAATATTAAATTCAACACATKATTAACTCCTCTCCAACAGCAAATTTTTGCATACTAGTCAAACCACACCACTGTGGCTGTTTATCATTAATACTGATAAAGCCATCCTGTTTCCATGGCATGGAAAAATTTCATGGCTTGGGCAGGGGGAGGGTGCTGGTAAGCTCACTGGAGGCTAAAGGCCCTGCTGGTGGAGYAGCCTGCCAGAAACCAGTTGGATCAGTAGCACTTCAAATGCAGAATGTTGGATGCTGACCCTTTTCAAACTTGAGGCCAAGCACTCTTCAGTGAGACACATGTAATCCCAGATTAAGTGATCCTGATGACTGCATTTTATGTATAATGTGCTGAACAAAGATGTGATAACACAAAYTTTAATCTCATTTTTCCCTTGTGCTTGCGCCTTGCAGTTAACTGAAAAGAACGCTAGTAAGGCAAGAGAGAAAGCCTGGACATCCCTGTAAGGCTGCTGTGACAAGTATCTATGCAAACCAGGAATCACCCATCTGCATGAAAAAGGCAAGAGATAATCAGAGGCACAGAGAGAGGAGAAAAACCCAACCCCATCATTGAGCCCTTCTAGATAAAGGGGGTTGGGGGAGAGGATGTGGGTGTGGATACACAGGACAGGACACAGCCCCCACAAAGTTATATGGCTGAACAGGACCAGGTTTTGCCCTTTATAGTCCAATGGGAACAGGAGAGCTCCAGCTACTCTGGTGTCTACCCAGAACATTTTCCAACCTCCAGCTTATTGAGGAGATCTGTTAGGTGACAGTTTATCCATGTGTGCTGCTTCTAGACACCCAGACTGAGCCACTGTACTGCCATAGAGGATGGGGACACTGGTGTAGATGTACAGCAGTGCACAAGGATGACCTTTCTGTCTCCAAGGTCAGCACACTGCCAGAACAGCACAGGCACTTTTGCACAGTAGGTAAATGTAGTTACTGGTGCAGTAACTCTGAGCAGACAGCTTCACAGTCTCTCTGCTCCACGATGATGAAAGACAGCGTTCCCCACTTGTACAAGTCAAGAGAAAACAAATGTTATGAGTATGTTTTCAAAAGGGTTCACAATTCTGAAACAACCCATTTACTGAATCAGCTTTTCACAAAAACCACTCCACTGTTCTAAGCATCTTTCTAGAGGCAGATCTCACACACTACAAGTGCCTGAACTGATAAATTAGTCTGATTACATTTTTTTTCTCGATGCCTCTCACTGGAGATCCAATAGCACTCACCAATTGCTCCAGCCTTACAGTAGGGCTGGCGCAATTGTTCCTGGACAGACCATTGGTTGCCGGGTCATGCTGTTCCTCCTCCTCAGGAGACAGCAAATACTGTACTCTCACTCATCTTCTGTCCTGCTGACACTGTTCCTGAGATAACTCAGACAAATCCCAGTGATGGTACCAGACACAATTTCTCATTGATATGACACCACACACTTCACACTTGCACATTTTGGCACACATGGGATTTGGAAGTGAACAAGAGCAAGAGCTGCCCACAGAGACAATGGTGATGGAAGTTTAAAGGAGTAGCAGCATTGCCTGTATCCATGAGAAACTAGTAGTAAAAGTAGAAGCAATTTAATTTCTTAATTCTTCTTTCTTTTTACCACAAGTGCAGCATACAGATATAGTCAGAGCAGACTTGCTCCTCATTATAAGTCACTTAGAAAATTTGTTAAAGGGAAGGAGGAAAAAAAAAAAATCTGTGATACTGCTGTCCCGGACTACATTCTATTGAGTATGAGTCCCTGCCAGAACAAATAAAAGTGCCACCAGRCACAGGATGCAAGCTTTACTACCCCATGTCCTGTGCTGGACCTGGTATGTGTACCAAGTAAATAAACAAAATAATTTACTGACATTATAGTGTTTTGCCTTGTAGAAGCACAGCTCACAAACATGCTTATAAAAGCACAGCACACCCAAGTCCTCAGAAAGACATGGACCAGTTGAAGAGGGTCCRGAGAAGGCCATGAAAATTGTGAGAGGGTTGGAGCACCTCTCCAATAAGGCAAGGCTGAGAGAGTTGAGAATGGAGACTGTTCAGCCTAGAGAGGGAAAGGTTTCAGGAAGATCTTACTGCTTTTCAACATTTAATGGGGTTTTATAGGAATAATGGGGACTGACTTTAGTAGGGCCTGTTGCAATGGGTCAGAGGTAATGGTTCCAAGCTAAAAGAGGAGATATTTAATCTAGACATAAGGAAGAAATTTTTTACAATGAGGGTAGTGAAATACTGGCACAGGTTGGCCAGAGGGATTGCAGATGCCCCACTCCTGGAAACATTCAAGGACATGTTGGTTGGGTCTCTGAGCAAACTGATCTAGTGGATGATGTATCTGGCACTCAAACTATTCTGATTCTTTAATTAATTCAAACCATGCACGAGTCAGGACACAAGTAGGACACACACAGGACAATATACATGGCAACACCTTCTGGTTTTTCACAGTAGCCCCTCCAGTATGCAAAATAATAAGAGACATTTTTGGCCCAATTAATGACTCGTTAGTTTTATATGTTCTTGTACAAGGAACAAGTGTCATATCTTGTCCTGTCAAGGACAAGTGTCATAATCTTGTATTTGTCACCCAAAAGCTTCTAAATTGCTTAGTGCTAGCAGGGCGGTGGGTCACCCAGCAGTGGCCACCAGGGATGGTACCGGTACC